GAGACCGGCGTCCCTGGCCGCCCGCGGGGAGCGGGGGAGGGAGTGGGAGTGGGGGGGCTCCCGCCTCTGCCTGTGGGCGGGATCGCGGGGCCCTGTGTCCGTGGGGGAACGCACGCCAGCGCTCCAGGGTGGTTATTTTATTCCCCCCCAAAAAAGTAGGGATGGAGACGCTACCCATGAGATCGCTTTGTTCTGAAGCAGTATTCACCATGCTTCAAAATTGACATAATAAAACCTTTTGTATTTTGTTGAAGTTTTCCCTTTTCACCCACTGGAATACCAATGCAGCTTGTGTAGCTAAGCCTAGCTGTAGGTACTTTAAGTGACGTGTTCGACTGAAATATTTGAGAAACCTTTTAAGCAACTGATGGTCTTAAATATAACTGTCCTGAGAGCAAAATAAGCAGCTTTTAAGCTTGCTTTACTTCTTCTAGCAAACATTACACACCAGTAAGGGAAGAGACAAAACTTAAAGCTGATCTGAAGGTGTATGTTGTCTTCACATCAAAGCAATTGATTACATCTACTTAGCCAGTAGGTATAATTTTTCCAATAAACAACAGAGTGTATCTGATGGGTGGAAGAGGGAGAAAGACACGTACACGTGTACATGTCCAGCTGCTCTGTACAGACTGCCCAAAGAGCATGTCTCATTAAGGTACGGTACCCATGTCTCTACCTTGAAATGAGATGTCACATCCTGGAACATTTTGCTAGATGGATGTGCTCTAGGTTTCCAGTTTTGACAGACAGAAGTAGTATATATACTACCACAAAAAGTATAGCAACAAAGCTTGAGATTGATGATGTGTATAGGAATATAGATGTGTCTTAATTCAGTAAATATAAATGAGCTTGATACATTCTGTAAACAAGTTTAATTCAAAATTTTTTATAAAATACATCTTGTATTTACACACATACCTCATCTAAAAATATGAGTTTGTTGAATGCAAAGTTATTACAAACTATCAGAACCGTTTTAGAGCTGTTTGTACATATTTCTTGCACAGCATATGCAAAAGGTGACCCTAGAGATACTAAGATTAAAAGGTGCAAATCTGCAACTGTGTACAAAATATGTACTATGTTAAGTGTATATCTACATTGCATATTACACATGTGCCAACAGTTAAAATTGCAACTATATATTTCACAGAACATTAGCATAGAAGAAATTAAGATATTTGGAGATTAAATAGAATATTTTTGCATCCTTTGAATCATTCATAGTCATTTCAGATGCACAGGATCCATTGTGAACATCTAAGGAACAGCTATGCAGAGGAACTAAGCTTAAAGCTGACAGCCTAGTAACCTAAATGTGTTCTTGCCCTTCATATTTGTGGTAATGTTAGTTAAACATATATTCACAGGGTTTGAGTTGAGTCTTCTAATACTAGTTGGATATTCCTGTTAAAAAAAAAAAAAATCTAAGTAATGAAAAAAGAAATAAGACCAGATTATCATGCAAGATTCCAAAGCTAACATGCTTTTTTTTAATATACTGTAACTTGCACTTTTTTCTTTTTTTTTTTTTTTTTAAAGAATGTGGTACAAACGCTCACAAAACACTTGCAGATAAGCACTAAGCTGCTGGTGTAATTGGTTTAGTACAACTCTGCAGTAATTCCACCAGAACTTCTACAGAAGTCAAAAATTAGGTGCGAAGTCAATCACTCTACCAAATCACTCTAGCAGTTTTTCTCCTTTAAGGTATTACAAGCTAGAGTATTACAATTTATGTCAAGCATCAACTTTAATTAGTTGTGTTTAAAACCAACACAAGCATCAGCTAGAAAAGCAGACTGAATAAGCTGAAGGTTTGTGGGAGAGCTGGAATTTAAATATATATTTTGCATCAGTAATGAGTGGTAAAAATAAGTTACCAAAACAGCAAGTTGCACAGTCTAAAAAGCTGAAAAACTACAGTTCTGATAAGGAAGTATGTCCATCAGGGATCAAAGACAGCCCTTGCTATTACCTTGCCATGGCTCATTTTTATTTGCAGCATTATAAAAAGAAAAAAAAAAAAAAGGAGGCATGGGGAATGCTTTTTTGTTACCAAAAACAATATTAAGAAATTTAAGATCTATTTGGCAATACTAAATACTGAAGATTGCAAATGCCTAAGTTAGTACCATGCAAAGTGAACTTCAGTGGACTTCCCTTGTGAAGAAACATTACCATAAGGACCATTACATAAGCAATCAACACAGTACACAGGAAATATTTAACATGTCATCATATTATTACATAATCCTTGAATAGTCAAAATTAGCAAGACTGTAATTGTTATTAAGGCTGTAATTCTGCCTTGTTTAATGGAGGGAGAATCTGGCCTTACAAATCTTCTCTATTACTCTTTACAAGGGATTAATAGTACTGGGGGAAAAAAATGGATGCGTGCTAAATACTGTGCTATTAAAAGCAAGACAGAGCAAGATGTTATAAAACATAGTTAGGGAAGTATTATTTTTATTTTGTCATCATAAAGTAACATTGTTTAAAGATCACACAAATTTGATAGATCATCTTTTTTCTCCAACATTAAGCCAGCACTACAGTTGAGAAAGGTGTTCACCCATTTCTCTATAAATTTATATTTTTAAGTAAAATAATTTGATTCTCTAAATATGCATTTTAATTAATTATGTCACACAGTAAATATCTTGCTCCTTTGGTCAGAGATAGTAAATGAAGACTTAAAATACTTGTATCTTCAATTTTTAAAAACCCAATATACAATCCTTAACCAAGGAGTATTTACGCTACACACAAGCCATAGATACAAAATACACAGTATATACATGTTTTGAAAACAAATTGGAATTTATAAAAACTCAATAGCCAAATCAAAGTAATTGAGGCACTAAATTAAAAGTAGTATCTTTATGTCTTGATTATACAGACTATTCTGTGAACAATCAGGACTGTTTCATAAATATATATTATCTACAGAATTTGCTGTGCCAAAAAAGCCAGCTGTGTTTAAGCTCCAAAGAAAAATTGCACTTTGAGATCGTTACAGTTAACTTCTCATTTTTCTCCTCGAATATATAGTAATCTGGTCCTAGTGCTTTTGGCACAGGTATTGAGTTGTGGTTTTGCTACGCTTTCTTGTAAAACACAAGGTTCTTTTATTTTGTTCATTAAAATCTGAAGAGTCTTAAACAAACCTAGAACTTTGATACAAATCTATATAGCTACAATTGCTTCATTAAATAATATACACAAATATGCTCTTCGATCTTAAAACATCTTGACAACTGGATACAAAACAGTCACTTGGATTATCTCCAGCCTCCTTAATCTTATGCTTTACCAGTCTGCAAGTGAATAAAATATGGCTTCTGGCCACATCTTGCACTAGATCACACCCCAGTGTACAAGGACAGAAAATAAATGTATAATAAAAAGATTGGATAAATTAGAAGGGGTTTCTTTGTCTTGAATTCTTCTCCAACTAGTAAGGATGCAGCACTGTATGCAGCCCAAAAGACTCCAAACAACTGAAAAGGAAGATGAACAGTCTTAGCTGACACGACAAGAAAATCTCTCCAAACAGCAAAATACAAATCAGTTCTTCTCTCAATATAATTAAAAAGTATCCCCCAAAAGAAGAATTGGGGGGGAGGACTCCACACACAGAGAATATACTATGCATTTTCATTTAAGTTTAGAGAAATATTTAACAAATAGGCATGTTATTTTCATTTGAGACATTTTTACTGAAGTGAGCAGCTAAGAATCTACAGTAAGTTTTCTCTAAAAGATGTATTGATACCATAAAGCAAGCTGTAAGCTTACATACACTGATAATTTGCAACTTCACTGGACTGATAACTTTTCTTTCAACCCTGACTGTCCCCAACTATTAACCCTTCCCTTTCTTGAAGCAAAAGAGTTACTACATGTCCTGGTTTTGGCTAGGAAGCCAGGACAATATACTGGACTCTTCCTCCTACAATATATACCAGAGGGTTAAGTTACCATTTTTTATGTCAGGATTCACCTGACTCATAAGCTTCTCTTTAATTATGGTGCCCCCACCTCAAGGTAACCGAACCTCACATTCCTATTCCTTTCAGGTGCAGTGACAAGCCTACCAAAGTAAAATCTCTACCAAAGAAGAGATTTTAAGAAAAATAACTTTCTTAACTTACTACTATATTGCTTAGTAAGTTAAGAAAGAACCAGTTTAAAAGACTGGTGGAGTAACATTACCTATGAGTATCTGCTATGTTATATGAAGTCAGCATGCATACTTTTAAAAAAAAAAAAATGTCTTGAGGTCAGTGAACTTGACTCAAACCTCAAACTAACAAGGTTACAGCAAAAAGTAATCAGACATTATTATCCTCTAGCAGCACCTTGATTAATAAAAAAGGAAAAGTACTTAAAACTGCATGGCATGCAACAATACTGTAATCTTCTGCAAAACATAAGACCAAAGAGGGCAGATGTAATAGGACTCCAGCAGAGAACTTTTGCCACAGTTCTGTCAGAGGAGCTGAAGTCCCTTGAAGGGTTATGTGCCGTTCAACTGCCATTGTAAAACAAAAAAATTAAAAACTAGAGATGGACAAGAAGGATAATCAAGATCATGATTGAATTCCCTAAGATACATTAGGAAAATTGCAGCAATTAAAACAATCAAGGTGCATTACTTGAGTAGTTTGCTGATTGCAACTGAGAAGAATTGACTGGAATTTCACTATTTCACTGTAAGTTCCCCAACTTTAGGACCAGGAAATATTTCCCAAAGCACAGAGCTCTCAAGCCATAAGAAGCAGCACTTGCCACAGCCTACGTAGTTTTGGCCATATGGGGCTTGCCTGCATTTTCGCACTAATGATGCAAAGGTAAGAACCTTGCACAGACTCACCCTGAAGTTAATGTAAGGCTGTTAGTAGTAATCAAGTAACAGAAGTTTCATTAACATATATTCATTTTCAAGTTATATATTAGTTATCTGGCAAGTTAACAATTTGCTTTCTGACTGCATCAATGGTAATTGCAAGTTCTCAAATGACAAACACAGCAGTTTTGTTATTTATCATACACTTTAGTTGTACTTCAATGATACTGTTTACCAGCAAGCTGAGAGGACAGAAATCAAATCAACAGAACAAGAACCCAAAAAGCATACAGCTTAGCTAGTAACAGGTTTTTCTCAGTCAATCTTTCCAAAAGTTCAGCAATAACTTCAAAGGCTACCTAAGTGGGTTTTGAGAAGTACTGGAAGTGTTCAAGAATGTTGTGCAGTTCTGGGATCTATCAGGGAACGCTGCTAGTTTCATAAAAGATGTCCAACAGCAGATGGTATCAGGCAAGTTATTCTTGCTTTGTGCCTTACATTCCACATCTGTAAAATCAGAGCAATACTTACCTTTGCTGCAAAGTATTGAGAGCTTTGTACTGCTACCTCTATGGGAAGGTCTCAGCACAATGACTAATGTCATATTCATGCTGCAGTAACTAAAAATAAACTGGATGACAGGGGACGGGATAGAACAGCTTATTTTCAGATTCTTCATTTTGAAGTTTAATCAGGCATTCTCTCCTCAAAATGATAATCCTATTTATTCTAAAGCAACTATTACAGCACAGCAAATACTTAAACAGAAGCTAACCTGATAACAACAGGTGTTGTTATATAGCAACAGCACTGTACGTCCTCAAGTACTCTAAAGAAACATTTAAACCAGAATTCGCTTAGCAGTGATGTCTACAATGCTAACCAAAAGGATGACAGAGCTCACGTTGTACGTTCTAAGTATTTTGACACATGGTTATGTTGTCCTCAACAGATTAATACTTGAAGTGTTAGTAAAGTGACTTAAAAATAACGGTAAACAATTCTCAATAGATGATACTGAACTTACTTTTATTAGGGTAGAAACAACTTCAAATGATCCGACCACCAAAAGTACGGGTGCTATGACAATGAGGGGAAGCAAGGAATATCCTATCACACCAAGAACTTGGCCATAAGCAACCTGAAATTTTCAAGCACATAAACCCAACCTTTTTAGTACTCAATCTGTGTCACCAAACACGATTTGATCTTGTTATAACAGTATGAATAGCAATAACAATGTGTTAGGTACTCATGAAATTTCAGCTTAAGGAAGTTTGCTAGTATGAAAATTGGTTTTGTATGCTACCCCCTAGAATTTTGCAATTAATCATTCCATTCTCTTAGAAATATGTAGGGGTTTTTTGTTTTGTTTTGTGGGGGTTTTTAACACTGTAAATGACAATTTTATCACTTCCAAAGGAAGTATTTACACAGGTTAAAATATGTAATTCCACCTACCCCTCACATTTTCATGTTCTGCCTTAAGTGGTTCTCAACTGCCACTCTCCATGACTGTACAAATGATACTCAGAAGCACAGAACTACACCAGACCTCTCAGTTACCAGCTGTAGTTCTAGCTGTCACAAGCAGCAAAGATATAATTTTCTGCATTAACACATGCACAGCCATTATGCGGAAATAAATTCATAACGTACATTCATGCTGTTGGTGTTAGTGGAAGACCTAGAACCTGATACCTCTAAGGCACAGAAATCTTCTGTTTTTCAGTTTAAATTTATTATGACTACCTTAAACAGATTTGTTCAAAGTATTTCCATAACTGTTTTTAGCTTCATGGGGATTCTGATTTTCCCCCACTACGGTTTGAAACATTCCTGGGCCCAGCCAGGCTTCTTGGATTTAACAGGAAAAATCGTGGCAAGACAAGTGGCCATCTTGCAAGCAATCTTTTGTGGCTGTTGATCCTTCACAGTGAACTGTGCAGACCTATATTTTCTCCCCAGTTTATACATTCTGATAATTTCACATTTGGAGCTACAAAACAGATTAATTTAAGGCATATGGATTATGCTTGCATGGTTTTTCTGCATACCATCACATTTATAAAAGCTTTTTCTTTCAAAACAGTGTTGACACAAGAAGACTCTGGCAATTATGATTAAAAGGAAAGTCTAAAAAATTAAAAGTAAATGTAAATAATGTAGGAAGTCTGCAACAATAGTTCATCATTAATGCAAGATGCATAGTAAAAATATAAAAAACAAACATCACTGAGTATTTAGTTCTCCATGACACAGTTCAACGCATTTTATGCTGCAGAGACATTTTAAGAAGTTTCTACCCTCCTGAATGTTCCGCTGCAGCTGTCTGTGGGCCTCCCTGTAAGTCTTTTCTTGTTGTTTACACCTGAATCGCTTAGTGACTCCATTTGTAAACAACTCAAACAGCTATTCCAGCCTTGCTGGTGCAAGCAGCTGGAGGGAGGCACATAGGCCAGAATTTCAATTGGCTTTGCAGTTGAAGAACGTGTGCTGACTTTCATCCTTTAATGGGTTTGAACTGCATCAGGTCAAGGATGAAAACAAACACCGCTACGTGCTCTACTCACAAGGACATTATACAACTGCTGTTAACCCATTTTAAAAAAATAATAAAAAATTAAAGGGCAGCGCAAGAGCAGTGCAAAGGAGGAGGAAGGGTCCCATTTAGCTCAGTGATGAAAAAATTGAAAGCACTTGTCCCTCAAGAATGGACTTCAGCTCTGGATCACAGGCATCTGTTAGCATTTCTGGGATTTGTAGTACAAATTTCCAGATTGTTTATCACATCCAGCGCACCATCCATCACACAGAAAGATTAGCTGACCACCTCTGTATTTTAGATTTTATTTTGGAGGCCAAGAACCTGAAATGTAGGCATTACACTTACTAACTGCATCCATTCTTAGCTGGCTACGAGGTCCAAAGCCAAGCACCAAGAAAACCCAGCTACTACTGAAAAATGTAGCCAAGAAACTTTACATTACCTCCCTCTATGTCCTTTTCGCATACAGGTACTTACTTCTCCTCCAAGAACCCTGGCCAGTAAAAAAATTGTCAAGGATCCAAATATCCAAATAGTTATAATCCAAGAAACAACCTTAAGAGATAAAGAACAATGCATTTATATTAGTCATTGTGAGGAAAGGAAAACTCATTTATATTAATCACTTTCACTGCAGACAATGATTTTATTATGCAAAACTGAATTCTGAATTGCTGCAAGAATAACTTTACTTAGTATCACAATGCAACTTGAGAATAAAATTCAGAAGTTACATTTACAGAATCACATCAACAGTACGTTTGGCAAACATGGAATGCACACCCAACGTGTTCTGTAGTATTGTAATATTGCATCAGAGTAGGAAGGGTTTAGTTAAAACTAAAGCTAAGACCACCCTAGCTAAGCATCTTCACATCTCGCCTATTGCAAAAGGCGGGCTCAGACAGTTTTTAAAAGTCACCCCAAGCAATACAAGGAGTTGGAATTCTACTTCTTTCACCCATAAAGATGCCACTTGATTCTTTACTCAAACTGAGAATGCTCAGAAGATGACAAAGGACTTGCTTTGCCTAGGAGACAGCGAAGTGGTGCACTTGAATAATACAGTGGGTTTTACTCACCTTAAGTCTCATAAAAACAAAATACTGAGAGTGAATTCTTAGTTGGCATTTGGTACACCACATGGAAGCCAGAGGTTGCAAAGGGAACGATTTTATCTGACCATTCACAAAAATCCTTGCATAAGCACATTCCGTTACTTTACGGCCGGCTTACTGCTATGCTACATGGTATTTAAAACAACTGTAACTACACATACAGTCATAAAGATTTCTGTAGCAGGATAATCTAGGCTCACATTCAAATTGTGACTACAAATGATACCACTTCTCTATTTCAATCTGAACGTAAAAAAAAAAAGCTAATGGTGCTTATGGAAGCCAATTAAATCTGCACAGTGTCTCTGAATAGCTATTCACCCTGGTGTTCAAAAGGAATTATGGAAAAAGTCTATTGACCAGAGGAAAGTTATTTGATTGTAATTGAACAGAGAGGACAAAATAGCAAATGGCACTAATGAAGATTAAATACACCAGATAACAGCGGTGATATAGTATGAATTAAATAAGCAGCCTTATTTATCACGAAATTAAAATTCATGGCATCCAAAGAAATGTTCTTTGGTAACATTTTTTAGTAATAAAAAGTAAGTTAACAAAAGGTCACAATTAAACTGGAAAGATTCACTAATATGACTATAAACCCATTAGTACCAATCTGTTTCCTCTAGAAACCACATCTTTCCTTTCTTTTACTGTATAAAAACAAACCTGACGTTTTATCACGATTAACTTACCTGTGGGCTATTTAATACATCTTTCTGCTGTCTTTCTACATACTAACTTGAGAAATAGCATTTGAAATGCCCCACATTAGTATGTGAAGACAACACTTTCTACCTACGTAAAAATGCAAATTGCTTAGCAATCACGTCCCCAAATTTAGTTTAGATTTCTTTTTAGGTAGAAGGCTTATACCTACCTTAAATTGTCCATATAATGAAATCATCGAGAAGAAAAGCACAACTGCCAGAGGACCCCAGAAGTCTGGATTGTCTCTCACTACCTGCCTATTAAACCCAAGAGATGGCATAGGCATCAACACACATCGAATTTTGTAGTAAATATCCTTCAGATCAATGTCGAGTTCTTCCCTGAAATTGTAAAGCAAGGGAGCATTACTATACACCACAGTAATGAAAAGCAGAAAAGAAGCAAGTTCAGGGGCAAACAGTAGGTTTATAGAGCAAGTCTCCTGTCACATAAGGCTTTCTGAAGGCATGACTAGTAAAGGAACAATTTGTCCATAACAAAGCAACAGCACACCTTCATCCCACATTCAGTAACTGGTACGACATAATTAGATATATTAAATTATTCAAAAATCAATTACAAGACTGAGAATAGAAAACATACACCATATACCCTAACAGTCTACACTAAGACAGTAGGTCTATTTTCTGACATGCAGGAACACATGGCACATTCATACCATTGTAACTACTGAAAAGTCAAAGACAGGCATACACAGAAGTAGGATGTCTGTGTATTCTTATGTTGAGCAGTTTGCCATGAGCACACTTATTATGGAAACATTTTATTTCAAATTCTACAAGAAAGAATATCTTTATATTCACTAGTCCTAAACCATTCAAAATATGTCAGGTAAAACCAATTTTATAAAATAAAATGGGGTTTCCGCTTGCTTCAACAACAGCAATTGTTGAAGCAGACCAATTTATGTCAATTTTTTAATTACTGGCTTGTTTCCAATATGGGTAAATAGCAATAAAAGCCAATTAAACTAGCAGTAAGTTCTATCAACAGATCTTGCTCTTCTCTAATTGCCTTCTCCACCCCCTGCTATGAACTATCTGTAAGCAGCTACAAATTGTCCAGAAGACTCTTCTGCATGGGAGGCTCTTAACTGATACACCTTGCCCTGATTGTCCTAGCACGAGGGGAAGGAAGGAGACTCCTCAAGTAACGGCAATTCTACCTCTTAAGTTTATGCGTCGAACCTTAAGACAGAACTGTATGCTAGTGTTTTCCTTATGTAGTCATGACTAAGGAGCTCTGAAGAGTTGCAAGAGACTTCCGGAAGATATCCCTCTGCTCTATATTTAAGAGCACAGTGGAGAAAAAGGTAGAATCATATCCTAAGTCTGTTTATGAAAGTTTTACAAGGCTTTGATTTATGGCTTTTTCCTCAGAAAAGCTGAAGCAAAAAATAAATGTAAAGACATGATTCACCACAATTTCTCTTTAAAAAAGAAAAATAGTTAAATACTGCTCATTTTATCTCTCAAGGCAACTCCAGGATTGCTATTCTGAAGCTATTTCAGAAATGGTATTACTAAGCCATGACTAAATAACAAAAATTGTTCTTTAACACATCCCTGAATCTAAGGAGTAGACTAGAACCATCTATTTTCCTCCATTTATCTAATCAGGATGTAGCATTGTTATATTTTACTCTGAAGACTGTGCAACACAAGCGTTTCCTGTCTGGAAATAATTCCTTGTCATCGCCTAGGGCTTCTGACAGTTTCTCACGTGAAGAAACTGTCTTTTGCATGAAGGTGACAGCTACCTCACCTAAGAGGTGATGGAGTAAGGCTGCTCAATGAGAAAGAAAAAAAATCTCACTCTGTTAAACAAAACGCTTGCACAGTAGCGCCACATTGGTGAATTTCCCTTAGCTGGCTGCTATTCTTTAACTCCATTGTAGGAGTTAGGTTACAAGGCTTTGTTACAACACATGTTCTTAGAGTAATCAGAATTGCATAAAAGCTGTCACATGGAAGTCAGATTAAGGTCCTCTCTGTTGGGATGATTCCATTCATCCTGTTTGCCACAAACTGATCATTTCCCTGGCACGTTCCCCTCACTTCCAGCAATCAGCAGCTCAGACCACCTAGCTGTCTGTGAATCACAAACTTGGTTTTTGTTGGATAAAAAGTTACACAAAAAAGGGAAATCATATGTTGTCACCTCAGTACACCATTCAGTTTCTTAATAAACGTTACAGGTTTACAGAACAGACTTATTCACACAAGGAGCTACTTCTGCACACTTTAATTTAAAGTACTGTTCAAGTAGCAGTTTCATTATTAAGCTCTCCAGACATCTGTTCTCCCCTAACACTCTCATTGGAGTCCTCCAGAGCACTCTCCTGCTCACTCCGTATTTTTTTAAAGTATCATTATCTTTAATTCACACAGGAAAATAGAGACAGTGAGAATGAACTTGCTCATGTGCAGAACAAGGACTAAGATCCAGCCTGCCTGGCTCACAGTGTAGTAACCTTAAGATACAAACTTCCTTCAGCCAACCATATTTCTGTGAACAGAACAAGGGATGCAGAGATTTTCAGGTTTAAGGACATTTTTGTCTTTCACCACCCCTTTTTAATCTAGCTTTATAATATAAGATAGCATCAAAGATTACAGTTTGTACTACCTTGCTTCTAGCATCCCTACTGTAATAAGCACAATTCACAAAGCACTTACTTCAGAGTAACTGACAGAATTTACTTAGATTTACTTAACATGAACCTTTCCACAGGACTGTCTTAGCCTCCAGTTCTTTGACAGCATTAAGGAACTCGCAACATCAACACAAGATAGAAAGAATACAATCTAATTTTGTAAACCATGACAAGATCAACAGATAAGAGCAAAAAAGCTATAAAAGCTTTATTCTTATAGAGATTAATAAAAATGGATTTTACTTCCTCCTTCCTTCCTCCCCCACAGTCAATAACAAGCCTCTCTTTTATACTCAAAACAAAACCCATAATGAGAAACACAATATTTTCATTCCTGCACCAGAACACACTCATTGGTCAAGTAATTCATCAAACAGAATTCCAGTCACAGCAAAAGGCAGTGGGACAGTTTGAAAGGCTCAAGTTGTTTGTTTTTCCTATACAGCTAAGATACCAAAAAAATAATTATGACATACAGGAGTGGCTTGTTATCTTCTGGGTCATCATCTTCCACTTCCAGAAGCCAGCCATACCCTCTCTGTCTTAGGAATGTAGTGGCAGTAGATTCTTTGATGAATTCTCCTCCAAGATTTAGCTTAACATCTGGAGTTGTTATGGAGCCGCTAAGATCTTAGAGAAAAAGGGAGAGAAACATACACCTTTTTATGTTGTGCCAAAAGCCATTTGATTTCAAAAGTACCGGAAGATAAACAACAGACAGATAAAGCTACGCGTGCTGGTCATCACCATGAAATAGTGGAAGTTACAGAATAAAATTATTCTTTAACAGATACATAATTTGAAACGGTACTTCTACTTCTAATGCAATAGTAACAATGTTGGCTTATGTTTCAAATTACCAAGTTTTAGCTTCTAGATAGAAGTCTTCTTTTGATGAAAGTGTGTTATGGTATGCGAGAAAGGCTTCAATTTGTGCTTTATCATTAAGCATTTAAAGGCATAAAAGGAGTTAACTAATGAAAGTCTCACCACACTGTAAGTTGGGGATTATTTACCATTGTTTTGCTGACTGTACTATACCTCTTTTGGAGCCCATTCCTGCACAGTGGCATTGTTTCAGCTAAAACCAAATTTTTCATGAAAGGAAAACATTTGTAGATGGTTTCATTTGTAGCCTGCCCTTAATATAGGTGAAACTGTTAGAAAAAGAACACTGTCCGAGATCCTTATGTTCCAGCCAGTAAGAGGAGATACAAGGAGTTCTCTTCAATATACTGTGATCTTGCTCTGCCATAGTAGTAAACAAAACAAAGAGCAATTTATGTATGTTCTGGCTGTGTCAAAGTCAGCAATAAATATTATTTTCTCATTGTATTCAGTTATATACAATGAAAAATACAAACTAGTAACTGAAAATACACAAAGCAACTTAAAGAAATAACAAATACAGAAGAGGGGAATAATTACTCCTTTAGGAAATGACAGATTTCCATTATTTGCTAAAAAGGAAAAATCCAAACAGAAACACATAAAGTTTTTGTACAAACCTTATTACAAATATAGAGACAAAACCTCTCTTCTCATCCAACATCTTTTTGCTTCACCAAAGAAGATCTGATTTGCCTCTCCATTGTTGTGTGTTCTTCACACCGAAAAGTTCCTAGGTACAAATTTCCCAAAACACTACCTATAGCAAGTATTTCTGAAACACATAGTCACAGAGGCAAGTCGGGCCATATTTGCAGATTACATTTGCGACATCTTCTATCAGAATGCAATGCAGGTTTATACAAACAAAATTTGTACAGTAACAGAATCTTACATAGTCTTCAGCCACTGTGTCTGAAGCATTCAGTGATCACTCAGTATCGTAAGTAATTTCACAGAATTCTCCCTCCCAAATCAGCTTGCTAGGCCACTCAAGCTTAAATTTAAGCTTCTCCATAAATGCTTTTCAACTGTTCCATAATCATGAAAGTTAATGATCCATTGCTTTGGTTCTTGGAACACCATCTGTACAGGATCCTTAAGATCACTGTAACTTAAAGAAGGAATTCTCTTTGCACACATACACTGTTCTCACCAGACACAAGCAAAGCTGCCTTCTGCTGTTTACAGAGGGAGGAAAAAAGAAAAATGTATTCTTAATGCCCAGGCATCAAGGTAGAGAAAGTCTCAGCAGTTTTCCGTTGTCAGTGGGATCCTTTTGTCCTTTAAAAATATTTGTTTATGCTACAACATAACTCTGCTTTGCAAGGAGAGGTTCTTCCTATTCTTTGTGCGTGGATGTGGCTGTCAAAACAAGCAAATATAACAGTCCAACCAGTCATTTATTTCTCCTTTCCCAGTGGCAGCTGACAATCCATCCTGAGGCAGGGAAACTTCTACACAAGTCTAATTTACCAAGGCTCCTTTCAGCAGCTGATGGTTGGTGAATATCTACAACCAATTTTTTAATCATGAAACCACTTAACATGATCTTAAGTCTATTTGGCAACATATCTCAGGTGGGACATAAAGCTGCAGAAACCAAAGGGAAAAAAATAATCTGCCACCTCCTCTTCTACAGACTGATTCGAATAAGACGGTTAACAGCAAGCCAACCGAGTGCTGAAGAATCTGCCAAGAAGAACTGATGGTTCTGATGCTCACTAGCGAGAGTTAGGATGCCTTCCTGCTACTGTCTCAGGCAGAACGCCACAGAAGACAAACTAAGGTATCTCACATGCCCTATTTCAACCAGGCATTGTGGAAAAGCAGCTTTCAAGACAATCTTTGCTCTCAATTTTGAAAAAGCAGTACAAGAGATAACACTCCCCCTCCCAAAACCCCCAACAAAACAGTCTGTTCTATCTGTACACTTAATTGAGAACACCTCTCCAGCACTC